CGTTATTGTTACGCTATTTCGAAAAAATTTAAAATTCAAACGCACTTAAAATTTTTCCTATAACGACGCTTCGAGTTTTCTCTATAGCTATTTGAAGGAAAACTTATGGAAAACTTAGAGTTATATTTTTAACCCTTAGTTATAAACAGAAAAATTTTTATGATTTTTAAACTTCAAAATTACTTGCATTTTTTCGCGTTTTCGACATATTTCGTAAAAAATTGAACTATAAACGCTTATAAAAAAAATTTTGACTAACGATTTTTAATTTTTTTTAGCTACAATAAGAACAACTTATAAGAAACCTTGTATTAAATTTTCAAGTTTTTTTGGTCGTCCAACATTTTTTTACCGACACTTCAAAAAAAAATTCTCAAAAAAATCGAAAATTTCAGTGGTCTATAAATAACTCAAAAAAATTCAAAACTTTTTGAAAATTAAACTGTATATATATAACACTAACATAAACATTTGGGGAAAATTTCAAGTATTTACAGTGATTAGTTTTTGAATTACAACCATATAAAAAAATCAATTAGGTTGAAAACTGGTTTTGCGTAAAAATTCCAGTTTTTCTGTCATTTTTTTTTTTGTTTTACTCGATTTTTTTAAAAACTGTTGGAAAATGTTTACTTTTGACCTCTATAATGCACCAAGGATATTCACTTTTACATCGGAAACCACCCCCAAAGTTTGAAATTGATGCATTATTTCGACTAATTATGCTGTACACAGACACACACAAAAAAAAACACACATCATTGTAAAATCAATACATTCATCACTTCGTTCAGAATCTAAAAAATGAGACCAACTTTATAATTAACAAATATTTATGTATTAATAACCTAAGTAAATAATAATGTTAATTTAACTAACCTTGTTGAAGGGTTTACAGTATCCAAGTTAGGTTCATCATGTAGACTGTTGCCAAGATGCTGAAAAATAAAATTTAACACATCTAAAATTCATAATGAACAAAACTACCTTTTACAAGAAGTCATGAGATAAGTTTAAGCATCGAAACTAAATTGGAATTCTTCTGTTTTCTCATTAWGTAAACTATGCGGACAAGGCTGAAAAACAATGAAGGGTTCTAAACGAGATTTGCATTTATGAAAAAAATGAAAAAAATAAAAATTATAATAATAAAAAAAAAGTAAGAGGAATAATGAAAAAATAAAAACTTTGAAAATATTAATTCTGTGGATTGGAATGTCAATAAATAAGAACTAATCGGAGAATTAAATTATAAATTCATATCGTTTTTATCACAGCAACTGAGCAACGTGATGATATCAAGATATTTTGAATTTGTTCAATAAAAAATTTTAAATATTATAAACTATATTCTGTTGTCATAATACTATAAAATACGTATAAGTATAAAACATTGATATATAATCTATCTTATCAAAAATATATTAATTTTTTTATGACCATAGTTAAATTTTAGCATATTAATATGATTGGTATTGAGAATCTTTCACAATTTATACTATAAAATTATCTAACATTTGAGTCAATACAAATTATAAAACTGTATTTTATTTAACACATAAGTTTAGATACTGTTATAATTAATTGGGTCTAATAGATTAACTTTATGTGGTATCTATTAATGAAACAATCATGACGACCAGTGGCGGATTTAGCGTCAGGCAAAGTAGGCAGTTGCCTAGGGCGGCAAATTTTTAGGGGTGGCAATTTTAGGCCAATATTWTATTGAAAATATACTCTAGGTTTCTTTTTGATTTTCTTATGTACAGTGATTGATTACTTTGAAGGATGGAAAATGAAAATGTTTAATATTTGTATAACATAATATTCTTGTTAATATAATTTCTTCATTATTTTATAATACTAATACATAAAAATAAACGTCCAAGTAAATAATTGAACGACTGCCGGAACGTATATTATCTATTATCTAAAATCTAAATACTAACCATAGATTACATATTTCATTATTTTGATTTTTTACTAAGTCGTAATGGGGCGGCAAAAAAAAATTTGTCTAGGGGCGGCAATTGTGTAAATCCGTMTCTGATGATGACAATAATATGAAAGGTGAATGTGAAGAGTTTAATATGGTCATTTAGAGATAAAATGAAGTAAATATAGAATATTTGCGTTACTTCATGCAAATGATATACTCTATAAAAAGAAACTTCATAAAAGTAAATACTCTATTAAGCATCTTGGTTAAATGGTAAATTAAAGAAAAGTATAACACACAGAATCATTGATACAATATTTATGATTTGATTAAGTGATTTCCTTGATAAAAACATAAATATAATGTCAGTATTCATTGTATCATTCCAAGAATTTGTCCTTTATTCAGTAATAGCACAAGAAATGTCCTGAAATACAAACTTCCTAAATAATAATGTGTTAGATGTATGGTTAAAATTTAAATATTATATGTTAATTGAATAAATCAATATGTACAAAGTTGAAAATTAAGTAGATACTAGATAGCACAAAGTAAAAATGTTTAATAATACATAAAAAAAAAATATTGGTAAGATTGTTTTAAGAGACCTATTTATATTTATATTTTTGATTTTTAAATAATATTATAAACAATAACCAACTTTTAATTATCAATTTGTTCATATAGACATATAGACATCAAAATGCAAACAGATAAGTTCAATTCTGTAATTTTAACATTTAAACTATACATTAGAACCCATTAATAAAAAATTGTAAAATAAGGTACCTTACTTTTTTTGCGTTTTTGCTGTCAATGACACAGACTATTCCTGAAAATGCATACATATAGATTATTTTAAAATTTTAAGAACTAACTATAAATAACAAATAAATTTATTTGTTAAACTCAATATAGTAAAATATATTAATTTTAAATATAGTTTTAATGTTTAATATAATTATTAAAAGCGTAATAATAATACCAATGAATTATAACTTTACAATATTCTTAACTTCTAGTTATAAGTAATATGTACAAAAAAAAAAAAAAAACAAAACACCTAAAAAAATATTAACACAGCTTTGGGCCATNTTACAATATTCTTAACTTCTAGTTATAAGTAATATTTTTCAAATAAACTAAAAAATGAGAAAACAGTGCAAAAAGTTTGGGCCATCAAAACTATTTTGAACTATAGACACTTGGTACAAAAATCCTACTGAAGTGCCACTGCATGATGGAATTCTACAACCAGTAGTTCCAGAGATAAGCGCATTCAAAATTTTTTAATTTTTCAGCTTTATAATAATACAGTAAAACCTCTCTATAACGGAATTGCTTGGGACCAAACATTTTTCCGTTATAAAGAGGTAAAAATTGCATATATTATTTGCATCGGACTATTGAAATTTTCTGTTATAAGGAAGATTTCGTTTAATTGAGGGTCTGTTATAGAAAGGTTTTACTGTATATACTTATATATTATATTAGTATAAATTTATATATTCTCAAATAATCTAATATTAAGTATTTAACATATTTGAAATATATAAATATTCCAAAGCTTAATGTGACACACCAAAAATATAATCACGACTCACAGTTTGGGAACCTTTATTCTACATCATGTAAATATTATATTATAATTATATGACTCATTTTTAAATTACAAATTAAATACCTAATAATATTGTTTGATTTGAATTATTTAAACTTGAAATGTATTTTCATACTTCCCGACTTCCGTGATATAAACAGTAAATAATTTATTCAGTTTACTAAAATTGTATTATAATATTTCTAGATAAATGTAAGAAATTAACCAACCATCTAAATGAACATCACTTCCCAGCTCAGTATCAACCCAAAATAATTTTGCAATAGGTCCTAAAAATTAAAAAATTAAATAAATGTATTTATAATTTTTTATAAAACTAAACTTATTCAAAATGTTCTAAGTTACCAGGATCAGCTAATCCTGTAGTTTCTAACAATATGTAATCAAATTTTCCACGTTTTGACATAAGGTTTTCAATTGCTTTAACACCATTATCTTTGACGGAACAACATAAGCAACCATTTTGTAGTTCCAACCATTCTTCACAAAGATTTCCCTTTTCACCAATAGCAATTGATTTTTCCATAGTGTCACCTTTAATTAAATGATAATTAACATTATAAACTTAATAAAATGGTTTTGTGAAATTGGTAAAGTTTTAAAGATAGATATTAATGTTCATTAAGTAGATATAAGAAACTAATAATGATTCTAATAAATAATATCATATTAAATGCATGACATCAAATTATGTACCTTCGCCAAATTCATTCAATATGACTGCAATTTTCTTACTGTGTTGTTCTGTAAGTATATAATTTAAAAGAGTTGTCTTGCCAGATCCTAAGTAACCGGTTATAATTGTCACAGGCACTGGGTCCAATGTGATAGCTGTCACCAATGATGGGATTTCATCGTCTGAGTCCATCACAATATTCCTCTGCGAACTAATTTAATATAGGGAACATTAAGCAAATTAATTAAGTCTTTATTAAATGTCATATATACTGATTTTAAAACGATACTTAATATTATTCAACAATGGACTACAACATACCTATTTATAAAAATAAAAAGACACACATGCACACAATTTACCTTTAGACAGTAAATATCACTGATCAAGTAAAAACATGTATTAAGATTATCAAAAAAACAGAAACTTGTAAAAAAAACGTAATTGACTGAGAATTCAAAGTTAAATGGCCAAACTTGTAACTGTCAAACAAAACCTTCTGTCTTCAAATCGTTTGAAAATTTCAAATAAAACGTTATAATATTCATAATAAATTCAATAAATTCATGTTCATTATCACAATATTAGATTTTATATTTTATTATCAGTAGCAGCATAGATATCACGATTTAAGATAATATCTTAAATCGTGATATTAAGCATAGCAGACAAAATATATTTACATCGAATTGTGATAAGGAGACCAAAAAGCTGAATCCCTAAAACAGCTGCAGCTATCTACAGACTAGCGCTATCTAGCAAATCAAATCTATATATTGAGCTCTATAAAAACCATCGCTAGATAGAAATAGTCAATAATTCTATGGCTAATTTAAGGATAGACTTGAAAAATGCATAATGACCAAGTTAAGCCCAAGATTTCGAATCACCGATCAGTGTCCATTTTACCAATTACAACTATTACAAGACAAGTGCACAACAATAAATCGTTAAGTAACATTACAACCGACAATAGCATCGTAGCCTATTAATCAGGTAATACTGGTAATAGATATACTGAGCGGCTACGACGAGCACAGATTGGATGAATAAATGTAGTTAGATAACTATCTAGAACAAATTCGAAATCATTTGTGAAACCGTGTTAGTTTGTTGATACGGGGTGATTTGATTTTGATTTTGGTGTAGCATATTAGTTTGAAGCTCGACGAATATGTTTTTATTATTTAGTGCTGGTTCTAGGTCTACAAAAAATAGGAGTAGTTTTATTTTTGAGACTCTATGTCGAGCGTTTGTGACGTTTCTCACTTGTAATCATTATTTTTCGAGTTCTTTTATGTAATCGGGTGAAGTGGTAGGATGTAAATTTCTAATGACACCATACGGTATGGTTTGTTTTCTTTTAATTGATATGTAAAAAATTGAACTTTAGAAGATTTCGTTTCCTTTATTAGTTTCCATTATCCGTGTCTTCATTTTGTGACAGGGCACTGAATTTATTACGAGAGGAGATTGCATGTTAGTCGTGGTTTTTATTGTTTTTGATAACTGACTTTGTTTATCAGAATTTAAACGTTTGTGAGATTTGCTAGAGACGACCTCAATCCAGTCGTAATTTAAAACATCATTCATATCGGACTCGGTTGATTGGATGTTTTTCTTTTTTTTCTTTTGTTCGATGTTTTGGTTGAAAATTTTAATTGGGGTTTTTTATTACTGTTCATTTTTCATTAGGTGTTGTTACGTAAGTGAAAGATACGCGATTGGGAAGACGGTCTGTTATACGATATATAGGTTTGAATAATTAAAATACTTACAATAAGTCTTGACTTGGGGTTTTGGGTCACAGGCGGACAGCGATCTTTTTTTGTTAAAAAGCACTTAAAATTGATTATTTTTTTAACACTTTTCACAACAAAAACAGTTAAGTATTATTAGTTTGATTTTCAATAAAATAGTAATTATCGATTAAATTAGATGCACACATTACGAGTGCGGGACTCGTAGAGTATTCGTTTTATAATTAATAATAGTTTATTATAGTTTTGAGGTTTATACCAGTATTGGCAGTATTCATCCGCATTTATAAAGACCGCACCAGTTTCCGTATATTACCTATTCCAGCCGATTCAACATCGTCTCAGTTCAGCGACAACAGTAGATGTGGTATTTTGCTTCCTGCATGTCTTGTTCGTACCGGCATCCTGCAACAACACCGAAATCCACAATCGCGGTCGAGGTCGATTTATGTGGTCGAGGTAACGTTCTTCTAGCCCCTGGACACTTTTAAATGTTATCAATAATAAGCCACAATTTTTCAAAAAATTTTGACTTAAGTTGAACTATTCATAGGTATTTGCAATTTTCGATCATTATTAGTTTTTTTT